TCAAGCATAAAAGCTCTAACTTAAGGTGGAAATCTATGAGGAAATTTTGGCTTTGGAGTTGAAGAAGATCCCTTATTATTATTCCAAAAAAAGTTAGGATGATTCTTCCAACCAAGATTATAAGTGTTGGAATATCGATTGTTTTGCTGCCTATTAGGGTTTTTAATAAAATGTATTGATTTAGAATTAATTGGGCAGTGATCACTAAAATGCCCCTCTTCACATAAACCATAAGTAACAAATAGGCTCTCAATAGAATGAACCTCTAGAGTATCAAATTTCATAGTTAATACAGCTACTTGTGCAATCAAGGCATTAATAGCATCCATTTCATGAATACCAACAACTCTCTTAGGCACTAATCTTTCAAATGGCCATTGATAGTTATTAGATGCCATCTCATCCGACAAGTCATATGCCTCATCAGTAAATTTTGCTATTAGTGCTCTTTCAGCTGTAACATTAATGGCAGTTCTAATAGGACTCATCAACCCATTATAAAATGTTTGTCATTACAACCACTTAGGTAACCCATGATGAGGACATCGTTTGAGTAAATCCTTGTATCTTTCCTAAGCCTCATTTAGCAACTCTGAATCTAGTTGTATGAATGATGTGAGGTCATTCTTCATCTTTGCCATCTTGGCTAATGGGAAGAACTTAGCTAAAAACTTTTGAGCAAGATCATCCCAAGTAATAATAAAGCCAATAAGAAGTGAATTCAGCCAATTCTTTGCCTTGTCTCTCAATAAGAAAGGAAAGAGTCTCAATCTAATTGCATCATTAATGACTAAATTGTGCTTAATGTATCACCAATCTATAGAAAATTCACAATATGAGCATTAGGGTCATCATTAGGTAATCTTCCAAATTGTATTAAAGTCTAAATCATCTGGATGATCAATAGCTTGATTTTAAAATTATTAGCTTGTATTGTAGGTCTTCAAATGCTAAAGTGAAGACTTTGCACAAGAGGAATAACATATTCCCTCAAACATTTGTTCTTTTCACCTTATTATTGTTCAACCATTGTTTCGATGTAAGTTTTCTCTCCAAAGTCTTTGAAAATGCTTTTCAATTTCTAGATCAAAAGAAACAATCTCCAAGCTTCTTACTCTTCACATACAATGACCAAAAGTACCTAAAATAAAGAAAAATAAAGCTTCAAGGAAGACTAATTTGCTTGGTATTAATATTAGCAAGAATGTATGAAAACAATTCCCCAACAATGATGCCAAAAACTTATTGTCAATTTTATCATGCAAGTACACGTATCATAACAAGTAATATAATAATAAGTAGAATGTCAAATTCCATAGAGAATTGTCCAAACTTTTGCTAAACACTAAAATTAACGTAACCTAATCTTTTTTAAACAATCGAATTATAGTGATTAAATACAAGCAAAACTAAAATTAAATCTAAAAGCCAATGGGTAAAACTTTACTAGAAAAATTCAATTAATAAAAAGCCTAGGATTACAATATCCCTCAATACTTTATCTAAATCCTCTTTCTCTCTCTAAACTTACTTAAAAGGATTAAATTGCTAGCCTAGAGTTCTAATTTATTTATAATTCTCTATCAAGGTCCTTATAAAAATACCTCTCCTAATTAATTTATTATATGTCGATGTAAACCCAACTAAAAAAATTTATTAAGTTTGTGCTCTAATATTGACTACATGTGACACATAGGTATATGTCTATCCTATATACAAATCAAATCACCTAATCAATTAACTGAATTTGAACACATGCTATTCCATTCATGACCTAATCTAAACTCCTTTCATCAAATTGTATTTAGATATCCAAATCAATTTAATTAGTAATCAAGCAATCAGAAACATTAAACATAAAATTAGAATAAACAACTCATATTCCATTGATAATAAACAAAAAAGAGATAAAGTATTCAAACTACATGCTAAGTTCAATCATAATTCTAGAAAAAAGTAAATTAGTTCTGATATCTAATGAAAACATCATCCAAATGAAATCAACCATCAATCCAAGTCAAAGAAAGTGAAAGAAAAACTAAAGTAGAGAGAGAAACTAAGATTTGTCAGATCTCAAGTCTTCAATCTTCTTCAATTTTTTCTTACTTTCTTTTTTTGTTGGTGGCTTATTTTTCTCCAAAAAAGTTACTCTCTCTCTTTTCTTTTAAACTTCTGAAATAAGCCCTTTAAATATTTTTCAAAAATCCTATTTAAAAAATTTCTGTAAAAGTAGTTTTTTTGAATCACAACTCAGCACCACAGCCTACTTTCTAAGGCATCGTGATGCCCTACGCACAACTATAGTATGGTGGTCTTTCTTCCAAGGCATTGCATCCTTGTTTCCCCAGTGCCACAACGCTCTCCTCTTTAGTCCTTGTATGGGAGCTTGGACATCAAAGGTGTCATG